TTCCTGCATAGAAATCACTAAGATTAAATATTTAAACAATGGGGATATAAAACGAATGGTCAAGATGTGCTCACTCACCCAGCTTGGAGGATTGCACATGGAAAATCCACCCTTTAGGTCAACGCGGAGAAAATCCTCCTCTTCTCCCTTGTACAAAGCGGACAAGGTCTTTATTAGAGCCGCAGCCGAATCCGGCCCCTTACGGCCGTAACGGGTGGTGTCGTCCTCCCCGTTGAAATCCCACATGGGGTGGCCTCTATACTGTAGCGGCTGCACCCCTCGCATGATGCATGCGGCCATGACCCCGATCATGGTTAATCCGGAATGAGCTAACAATCTTATCCGTCCCATCAGGTAAACAACGTCCCTGTCACTTTCCCTCTGAGGGCTCCGTGGGCGCCAGCTTAGGCGCTTCTTTAGGGGAGCATTGTTGAATTCAGGGAGGCCGATCCGGACAGGATCCGGCAGCGGGACGTCTTCTATGTAAAACCATTTCGAGGGCCAGTCTTCGGACGCCTTCTTTGGGGTTCCGGACAGATAGCCGGTCCCAGCGATGCACCATACTTCGGCTCCGCCCACTTGATACATAGACCCCTTCTTGGAACGGGGCACGAGGCAAAATAGCTCCCTCCACAGTCCGAAATGAGCTTCAACACCCAAGAACAACTTGCAGAGGGCTACAAAGCCCGCGATATGCAATACTGAGGCAGGCGTGAGATGATGTAGCTGGAGGCCGTAGAACTCCAGCAGCCCCCGGAGAAATGAATGGATTGGAAATCCGAGCCCCCTTATTAAATAAGGGACGAGGCACACCCGCTCTCCCTTAGAGGGATTAGGGGCGCTCTCCGCTTGCTCTCCGCCGTTATAGACGGCAAGACCGGCTCGAACCGAGATCATATAGGCCGGGGGGAGAAATCCCTTGGTCTGGAACGTCACCAACTCGCTATGCGGGATGGAGCATCTTCCCCAATATCCAGGCTTGGGGCTGGAAGGGCGGGAGGAGGAGTCGCGACGGCTGGCCATGGTGGAATGGATCTTTGTCGAATGAGCTCTGATGAACACTCGCGAAGGGGGAAGGTATGGTTCGGATCTAAATCCTCGTCTCCTTAAATAGGTCAGCTTGTTTACGCGGCTAGGGGTGTGAATGTAAAAACACTCGGACCTTTCATATTCGTTTGACACATGGGGAGCGGCCATTGTTGGGCGTAGAAGCCAAGGAGCGCAACGTCTACAAGAAACCGGGCTTTATTCGACAGGTGCATGGAATTTGGAGGAGAACCCGCCTTGCAATGCCGAAGACAATCTGCGCGCCGAACTCATCATCATTGAAGCCTGGTTCGGGGGCTACTGAGGGAGTCCTGGATTAGGGGGTGTCCGGATGGCCGGACTATACCTTCAGCCGGACTCCAGGACTATGAAGATACAAGATTGAAGACTTCGTCCCGTGTCCGGAAGGGACTTTCCTTGGCATGGAAGGCAAGCTTGGCGATACGGATATTCAGATCTCCTACCATTGTGACCGACTCTATGTAACCCTAACCCTATCCGGTGTCTATATAAACCGGAGGGTTTTAGTCCGTAGAACAACATACACGTCAACAATCATACCATAGGCTAGCTTCTAGGGTTTAGCCTCTCTGATCTCGTGGTAGATCAACTCTTGTAATACCCATACCATCAATATTAATCAAGCAGGACATAGGGTTTTACCTCCATCGAGAGGGCCCGAACCTGGGTAAAACTTCGTGTCCCCTGCCTCCTGTTACCATCCGGCCTAGACGCACAGTTCGGGACCCCCTACCCAAGATCCGCCGGTTTTGACACCGACAACGTCCATCAGAGGGGAGCAGCGCGAGACGGCTAGAAAATTTGCTACTTCCATTCATGGGCAGAGATACGATGCAGTCGAGGCGGCAACGACGACTTTTTTTTTGCTACCGTCAGTGTTCTTTTTGCTACAACCACATTGCTTTTGTGCTACAACCAGCCTCTTTTTTTGCTGCTAACCCACCATCCGGTGTTGAAACATTTTGCTACAACCATGTTGCTTTTCTGCTAAAACTAGCGCCTCGTTTTGCTACTAGCCACCACCGGCGTCGATCTGGTGCTACAACCATGACATGTTTTTGTTTCAACCGGCAACCGCAAAAGCTACTAAACGGTGAGCATTTTTTTCTACGATCGGCGGGGGAGGCAGCACCGACGAGCTCGTCGGCGGGGTGCCGCGATCGGCGATGACACCACTGGAGCTGAGGCCTCGCACCGGAGCTGCGACTATCACCATGGGGAGCTACAACCACGAGCGCATGCTGCTGCACGCGCGTAGCCAGCGAGAAACGCAGAAGACGACGTCGGTGAGGTGCGACGTCCGGTGGCGAGGGACGATGACCGGCGACCGGGGAGGAGGGGGAGGGCGGCGATGAGGATGGCTACCGGAGTGGAGAGGAGGTGCGCACCGAGTGGGAGATGCGATTCAGCGAGCGGAAGAAGAAGCAGTGAGCCAACCGTTTTTTTCGTCAGATCCAACGGCCCACCCGACTCAAATCCAATGGCTACGACTTGACCGGCCGAACGGTTGGGCCGGCGCGCCGGCGCAGATTAGTGGCCTAGTAGTATTTCTAAAAAAATTGATAGCAGTTGGTACACCTTAATAGCTCTCGACAACTGGCTCTAAATAGATGTTAGTACCATTTAGAGTTTCCTCCAGCAATCTAGCGTTCTAAAAACATGCCATGCAATTTTACAAGGCTTCGTAAATTTAACCTTCAGTTTTTTTCGTTAAATTTAACATGTAGTAGAATGAATTTCTGATATTAATACACGTACACGACCGGCACTTATACACAATAACCTCGGTATTTCCATCATGCATTAATGATTGTTTGCCATTTTGTTATATTTCAAACTTTAGTTTTCTTCATGGTATGATAATTAGAATTCAGATTTTAATGTCCAAACTTTTCATAAACCACATCCAAATATATGATCTCTAGATAATTTTTATAGTTGAGGTACTAAACTTGCTTTACTCTATAATCTCTAGATATTTTTTATAGTCAAGATACCAAACTTGCTTTACTCTATAATGTGTACAATATTTATACAAATTTCTTTTAATATTTCATAATATAGACAGGCGCAGCGAAGCGCGCATCTCTGTTAGTGTGACCATATGGAGGCTTGACAAAATATGCTTTTAATTCGCAGTCATCTCGGGAGAAAACTGAAAATCAGTCCGAGGAGCTGACTCAGACCAAGACGCAGCTGGGCGCCGTGCAAGCCGAGGTGGCACATATCAAAACCTTTACTAGAGAAGCGCACGGTAAGTGCATCTGTTCTATGATGATTTGTTGTAAAGGACTCTAGGTTTATGTTTTTTTTTTTGAAAGATCCAGCAAATGCTGGCTTTTCATTGATTATAGCAGGAAGCAGCGAGAAAACAAAGGGGAGGTGAAGATCCGAGGATCAAGTGTGTAGGGATGGCCACATGCGGCCGAAAACCCTAGTACAGGAAAAAATTTCTCTCAAGGTGATTCCCCGAAGGGGCTCTCGATGCACGTTGCTTCTGTGATCCTCCAGAGCTCGATGTTGTCTTGGATGCGCCTGATGATTTCGCGCACGCTTGAAAGGTTGCGTCGAAAGGTGCAGTTGTTTCTTTTTTGCCAAATTTCTCAGCATGCCAGCAGCAGGATTGACCGCCCACTGTGTCGTCGTGATGGATCAGTGCGCGCCAAGATGTTGTGGATGATCGTGCTGGAGTTTCCACGGCTCCAGCAGTCCGCAGGGGAGAGGGTGGTATGTTTTCAAAGCAGTGAAAGTCATTGGTCAATTGGAAAAGGACCTAAAGCAGACCCATGAAGACCTGCTATATGGTGCATCATAGCGATAGGCTGACCACCTTGTTTTGACCCGATGCAAGGAAGAGACGAACGTGCCGAAAGCAAAAAAATGACCAGCAGGCCCAAGAGATTGACCGGCTGAGGGCTCAACTGGCTGCTGCCGGAGGTCTGAAATCATGTGTTATCCTATTAAACTTCCACATTAGAATCCAGCCATATTTAATGAGTTATTTGTCAAGATGTATCGACAAATTCTCATCGAGCAATTCATGAGAAGCTAAGAAAAGTTTGATTATGCATTTGTGGCGGTTAAATGGGACCACTAAAACATATGTGTGAGTTGAATTCAAGTTTATACTATTTTATTTTAAAACTTTGAGTCGCATTTGAATATTTTCACCCACCAAAGATGTAATATGCTATTATTAGTGCCTTGGACTTAAAAAGACAATAAAGACATACGATAGGAGACATGGTTGGATGGCCATCCCGTGTCAGTGTTTGTAGACCGGCCTGCTTGAGTCCACGGACAAATACAGTGTCAATTTCGAAGCGAAGATTTTTTTAATTTTTTTGAAAAGGAGGAATCATTTTCGGTCTCTGCATCTGGGTGATGCATGCGGCTATAACAAATACTCCCTCCGTTTCTAAATATTTATCTCTTTAGAGATTTCAACAAGTGACTATATACGTAGTAAAATGAGTGAATCTACATTCTAAAATATGTCTGTATACATCCGTATATGGTAGTTCATTTGAAATCTATAAAAAGACAAATATTTAGGAACGGAGGGAGTAGAAAAAGACAAATGTGGTAGAATTGTTTTTGTCCTTATGTATGACATATGTCTTGTCTTGGTCACTGTTGAAGTTTTTCATATTGGGAAAAGAAAATGATCTCATGTCCCTATGCATTGACCAAAAATGGCGGTTAATTTAGACGAAAGTAGGTAGGTTTGCATTAAAAAATGCACTCAGCGTTGTTTTCCTCGTCGTGAGGCAGAGCGTGTGCCTAGCCGAAAAATATTTCTCTCACTCTCTCTCACACACACACACTCGCATTGTATCGACTGGTCAAGCAAGTATATTCATGAGTGCAACTATCTAGTAATCCAGATAGCTTGGGGTACGCAAGTAAAGCTAAGCTCCGGGCGCGCGGCAATGGGCTCCCGCCGGGACGACGAGGAGAAGGCGGCCACCGCGGTGGACGGAGTACCCCTCCCGGCGGCCTCTCCAATCAAGACACGGAGGCACGCCGGCGACGTGCACCTCCTGTCGGCCGCCTTCTTCTTCCTCTTCTCCGCCTACCTTCCGACGCAGAACCTGCAGAGCACACTAAATACCGTACGTATACATACCTGCGTGCGTAGCTACAATGGTTTTTCCGTCCGTGTTGGACGGTAGTACATATGATATACGTGCGTGCCCTCAGGATGGCGACATGGGCGCCGTGTCGATGGGGATCCTGTACGTCTCCTTCACGCTCTTCGCGGTGGCGGCGTCACCGGTGGTGAGGTGGCTGGGCGCCAGGCTCGCGCTCGTCGTCGGCACCAGCGGCTACGCGCTCTTCATCCTCGCCAACCTCCTTCCAACATGGTGCGTTCTGGCACACATTCTGACTCTGGCATCACATGGGCTGTGCGGTTTGGGCGTGCGTGGTGCTTGCAAGATGGAATGCCTATCTAGGTTGTGTTCGTTTAAGTTATATATATGTTGACCAGCGAGAGTCGTTTTTATTCCACAATATGTTTGTAACGTCATGTGTTTTAGTTCCTGCTCCATGGTTCCATTCTGCTTTTCATGGCTACATTCTCCCGTACTCAGGAGAGCCGTGAGCGTCCGTGGTTCCATCCAGTTGCTTTCCATGTAGTACTTGAATTGGAATTACTGAAGAAATCACTGACCTTTTTAAGATTATGGATTCGAATTTCCATGCTTTTGCTTCTGGTAGCCCAATGCGCAGGGCACTACATTGTGCACGTTGTGCATTAAAAAAATCGCATTAAACCTCAGTGCCCTGTTTAGCCGGGAGTAAAACACGACTCGAGTAGAAAAAGTAGCTAATTCGGAAGAAAAAAAAATGCGTATCCTGGTTATGTACTGATGTAAATGTCCATTCAACTGTCTCTGATTGAGAACACTCTATGATGGGCAGCATGCGAATCAGTCCCGCGAGGGTGACCTCCTTTCCAAAAGAAAAAACAACACCCACATATGCATCAAAAATGGCTTTCGGGCCAGGTTGATGTGCCCCTAATCCCATAAAATACAGTTAATAAGCACCTTATTTGAGTTAATGATCCACGTGCGAAAAGAATTTTTTCCCCTACGGCGGCGGCCTAGGGTTTTCCAGTCCTCCGGCGACCCTCGCCGCGAGTTTGCTGTTTCTACCAGAGTTCTGAGCCGCGTCCTCTCCCTATACCCTTCCCCGCAACCGGGCTGGCCTCGTGAGCAGTCATCCCGTTCTGCTGCGGCCGCATCGAGAGGAAGGCTTCGATCTAGGGTTTCTTGTGAAAACCTTTGGTGTGGTGATCGCGCCGGCATGGCGAGTAGGGGAGATGGCAGTACTGCGCAAGGAGGGGGTGTTGACGGCGCTGGAGACATGCTGGATCGCCTGACCCTCCATGACGATGAACTAGATGATCTTGTCTGGGAAGATGAACCTGACACGAAAGAAGTAAGGCCCAAGTGGTTGGCTCTGTGCCGCCTCCTGACATCTAAATCCTTTAGCCAGAGTGCTCTGATCGGAGATATGAAGGCTGCTTGGAACCCGGCTCAGCCGGTGGTATGGCGTAGGATTAACTCAAATTTGTTTTCCATACAGTTCAACTGTCTTGGTGACTGGAATAAGGCTATGCACAAGGGTCCTTGGGATTTTAATGGCTACGCTGTAATCCTTGCTGAATATGATGGCTTCTCTAAGCCGGAGAAAGTAAAGCTAGATAGGTTGGAAACTTGGGCTCAAATCCATCAATTGCCAGACCTAGTTCTAAAAAGCAAGAGCTTCCTGGAAAACTTAGCGCGGCGAATCGGCGAGGTGCAAGAAGTTCAAGTTACTCTGCCAAATGGTTTTGTGGGGGAGTTCATCAGAGTTCGGGTGAAGCTGGATGTAGGGAAAAAACTCACAAGAGTTGTACAATTTACAAAGGCGGGCGCAACAGAGAAATACAGAGTTAAATTTGAAAAGCTGCCCACGTTCTGCTATGAATGTGGTATGATGGGGCACTGGTACGAGGAATGTGGAACCGGGGAACATGATGTAACAAAGTTTGAATGGGGTCCTTTCATCCTGGCCTCAAGGAGTAATGGCCCCGGAGGGGGACGAAGCCGACAAGGCGGACCAGGGAGAGGTGAGTCGGGCAGTAATGACCAAGGAGGAGGTAGAGGCCGGGGACGGGGTAGGAGGGGCAACCCTTTTGACTCGGGCTCACACCCGCATACAAGTGGAGGGTTTTCTGGCGATGACAATGACCTCTCAGGTGACGGGGCAGTAGCTCCAGTACTGACGGAGGAGGGTAGGATACTGGAGTACGATGGGTCAAAAAGCTGGAGACACAATGCAAAGAATGAAACAACAATGGAGAAGCAGTTAGAGGATGTCGCAAATGATCATAACGAGGATCCTATGGTTCTGGGAAAACGAGCAGCGGATGATTCCAGCACAGGTCAGCTCCACAAGCTGGATCAGGTTGATCCAAGTACAGCGATTGTCCCGTCAGGCAACACAACGGCGATTGCTGGTCAGTTTGAGCATTCAGCAGGGAATTCCACGGGTGGTGGAGGTACACCACAGAAAAATGCCAACAGGAAGAAGCTGAAGGGGATTGATGGTGAAGCAATGGATGTTAATACATCGACTGTATCGGCGGCCTCCATGGGTGAGGACCGCCGGGGACAATGAGTATCATGTGCTGGAATTGTCGTGGGGCGGGCAACCCTGCGACAATTCGAGAGCTTCGTGTTTTGACGAAGCGTTTTGCTCCCACCATCCTTTGTATTCTTGAAACTCAGGTGGAGAGACAAAGGGTGGAGTTTTTATCAAATTCTTTAGGTTACAATAAAAGTTTTGCTGTTAGTAGTTCTGGTAGAAGTGGTGGATTGTGTGTTTTTTGGAATGATTCAATAAAGTTGGAAGTTGTTGGTTACTCAAAGTATCACATTGATGCAGAACTAGAGGGGGTTGGCAACTCTCCCTTTAGAGTGACTTTCGTTTACGGGGAAGCTCAGGTCCAGAATAGATTCAAAACTTGGGACACATTGAGGAGTATAGCTTCGATTAGTACATTACCATGGATGGCAATCGGAGATTTTAACGAGGTTTTACACCTCCACGAGCATGATGGAGTTGGAAACCGGAGTCATGCTCAAATGGATGGATTTCGAGATGCTTTGGACACTGCCGGATTATCAGATATTGGCTTCAGAGGGAATTCTTGGACGTTTGAGAAGAGGGTTGCGGGTGGTTCGTACACACGAGTACGTCTGGACAGGTGCGTGGCGACAGCTACCTGGTCGCTGATGTTCCCTCAAGCAGAGCTTGTACATGAAAATGCTGCATGTTCGGATCACGTCCCCCTGCTGTTGAACCTTGGATTGCACCCCCACAAAGCGGGACCAAAAACTTTCAGATACGAATGCGCTTGGGAGTCACATGAGGAATTGCCCACGGTGGTGGGAACTACTTGGGGACAGGGCTGCGACGGGACTGTTGAGGGAGTGAAACAACGCCTGGACTCACTTTCTGCTGATCTGTCTATCTGGGACAAAGAGGTTTTTGGGAATGTCAAGAGGGAAATCAGCAAGCTACAGAAAGACCTTGCTCTGTTACGTGCAATTCCAGGACGATCGGGGCCATCGCATGCAGAGGTGAAGATTTGCGATCGGCTGGTGGAGTTGTTCCACCGAGAGGAAATATTATGGCGCCAACGTGCCCGCATAGAGTGGTTAGCTAGTGGAGACAAAAACACTTACTTTTTTCACATGCGGGCAAGCCGGCGACGCCGTAAGAATCAGATTAAAGCACTCCAGCTTCCAGATGGAAGACTGACAGAGAATCCGGAGGAGATGGAGGAACTGGCTACCAATTTTTATAAGGACTTGTATACTTCTGAGCAAGTTCTTAACATGGACGGGGTTTTGGATACAGTCCCTTCCAAGGTGACAAACGAGATGAATGATTTACTCAACGCACCATATACTGAAAAGGAGGTAAAGACAGCTTTATTTCAGATGTTTCCTACCAAGGCGCCGGGGCCAGATGGGTTCCCTGCCCATTTTTTCCAGAGACATTGGGAGGTGTGTGGTGCAGATGTGACTAAGGCAGTTCTAAGGATAGTGAAGGGGGAGGAAACAGCAGATAGCATCAACGAAACAATCTTGGTACTTATTCCAAAGGTAAAGAACCCAACTTTATTGTCACAATTTAGACCCATCTCGTTATGTAACGTCCTATACAAGATTGCTTCCAAAGTTATCTCCAACAGGCTGAAGCTGGTATTGCCTGACATAATATCAGAAGAACAGTCTGCTTTTATTTCAGGGAGACTCATATCTGACAATATCATAACTGCTTATGAATGCCTGCATTTCATGAAGAGAAATACTGCGGTGAGAAATAGAAGTGGTGCTCTCAAGCTAGATATGATGAAAGCTTATGACAGGGTGGAGTGGGAGTACCTGCAGGCAATTATGTTGAAACTGGGCTTCTCTGAACAGTGGGTAACGATTGTTATGGGCTTGGTGAAGTCAGTAAAATTTTCAGTTCTGTTTAATGGCAAGAAGTTACAGGAGTTCCAACCTACGCGTGGAATACGACAGGGTGATCCAATTTCCCCGTACCTTTTCTTGATAGCAGCAGAGGGCCTTTCGTGCCTCCTAAAATCTGTTGACGAGTCATCTAACGTGAGTGGTCTAAAAGTGGCTCCCTCGGCGCCACCGGTAAATCACTTATTATTTGCAGATGACAGCCTGCTATTTTTCAAGGCGAGTGCTGATGGGGCACAGGAGATTAACCAGTTGTTGACCATATATTGTCAAGCGTCAGGACAGCGAATCAACCATGAGAAATCTGCAATTTTCTTCAGTAAAGGGTGCCCTGAGAGCACTAAAGAGGAAGTAAAGATGCTGCTGAATGTGCCAAATGAAACTCTTAATGCCAAATATTTGGGTATGCCCACTGCAGTGGGAAGCTCAAAAAATGGAGCTTTCAAATACTTGAAGGACTATTTGTGGAGCAAGGTCCAAGGATGGATTGAACAAACCATGTCAAGTGCTGGGAAAGAAGTTTTGATCAAGGCGGTAGCCCAAGCGGTTCCAGTATACTCTATGTCATGCTTCAAGTTACCAAGGGGTTTGTGTGAGCATTTGGACATGTTGATAAGGAAATTCTGGTGGGGGAGCAAGGATGGAAAGAGAAAGCCCAATTGGGTCTCTTGGGAAACGATGACTAAACCCAAGGGTATGGGCGGTCTGGGTTTTAAGGACTTCGAGTTATTCAATCTTGCTCTGCTAGCGAAACAAGCTTGGCGTATTTTACAAACGCCGGAAGCCTTGAGCGCAAGAATTCTGAGGAGTGTTTACTTTCCCAATGGATGCATTTTATCAGCTGAACTTGGAAGTTACCCCAGCCAAATCTGGCGCTCTATTATAGAGGGACGAGATATACTAAAACTGGGCCTGATCAGACGCATAGGAAATGGGGAGACAACCAAAATTTGGGAGGACAACTGGATTCCCAGGGATGTGATGATGAGGCCGTATGGGAGGAGATCTGCTAACTCCCCTGAATTGGTCTCATATCTGATCGATAACACAACAGCTACTTGGGACCGAACGAGGCTGGAAGAGGTATGCCTCCCGATCGATATTCAGGCAATAGTCCAAATACCAGTTTGTACATCAAATATACAGGAAAGTTGGGCTTGGAATTTTGAGAGAAGTGGAATTTTTTCAGTAAGGTCGGCATATAGAATGATGATTAAAACCAAATATAGAAGAGGCATCTGGATAGATGGGAGGGCCGGTTCCTCAAGTACTGAAAGAGACGAGCAATCTTGGAAACTTCTGTGGGGCACAAAAATTCCTGGGAAAATACATATGTTTATGTGGAGATTAGCTTGTCACTCCATCCCAACTGAAGACGTCAGGGCAAAGAGAAATATGGCCACTACAAGCCTGTGCAGTCTGTGTGGGGCGGAGGATTCCTGGCGGCACTCGCTTCTCGAGTGCTCGATGGCAAGATGCGTTTGGGCATTGGTTGATGGGGAACTGGCGGAACACCTGTGCGAAACGACGGAGCCGAGCGCTAAGCAGTGGCTATTCTCCATGATAGACACATTATCGCATGCAGCCTTCGTAAAGCTATCAGTCACCCTGTGGGCAATTTGGTGGGCGAGGAGGAAAGCAATACATGACGAGGTATTCCAGAGTCCGGCTGCTACTTATCAATTCATATGTAACTTCATCAGAGAACTTGAAGTCCTGTTTGTTAAAAAGGTCAAACCGCAGAGAGTCATTACGGCTAATGAGCCTCGGCCAAAAGCCCCTCCACCGGGTTTTATGAAAATCCACGTCGATGCGAGTATTGCAAGAAATCAGAGTAGAGGGGCGGCCTCGGCTGTATGCAGAGATGCGCATGGCAATTATGTGGGAAGCTCGTCGTTGGTTATTGAGGGAGTAAGTAGCGCGGCAACGATGGAAGCTGTTGCTTGTAGGGAGGCTCTCTCCCTAGCGGATGATCTGATGTTACATAGCTTCATTGTGGCGTCCGACTCGAAGCAGATTGTGAGTGAGATCAACAATGGCTCTAATGGAGTTTACGGAGCGATTTTATCAGAGATAAGGAATAGGTCTCTTTTGTTTAATTGCAGTTTTACTTTCGAAGGCAGAGCGGTTAACCGTGACGCCGATAGGTTAGCCAAGTTCTCAAACTCTTTAGATCAGGGTAGACATGTGTGGTTGATGCAACCTCACGACCCCATTGTAATGCCAATTCATGTGGAGTTTGTTCAATAAAGCTTGGTGATACCCCTCAAAAAAAAAAACCTTATTTGAGTTAATTTGATTTTCACCCCTAAGTTTCATATTTGTGACAACAATTACCCCATTTAGAAGACTTTTCACATTTTTATCCCATTTATGCAAATTTGTGCCACAGTTTACCCCATTTAAGCAATCTGTCTGAATGTTGAAATATAAAAAACAGGGTAAAAATGTGGCACAAGTTTGCATTAATGGGGTAAAAATGTGAAAAATATTCTAAATGAGGTAAGTGTTGTCACAAACGTGAAACTTAGGGGTTAAACTAAAGAGTAAAATTAAATCTAATTGTTTAGGCTCGGTAAATTCATTATGCTGCCATAATGAGATTCTGTCTGATGTTAAATCTTTAATTGTCAGGTATACAATGGTACCAGCTTCAGTGTACCTTGGTTTTACTGCGGCAATCATTTGGATTGGGAAGGTAATCATATTGCTTTCATATAAGCTATTTAATCTTCATTTCTGTCTGGCTTACATACATACCTTTGGCAATGCAGGGAACATATCTTACCTCTGCTGCCCTCAGTCATGCAAGAGACAATAATCTACCTGATGGCCCGGCCGTAGGAAGATTTAATGGAGAATTCTGGGGAGTGTTCGCTAGCACGCAGGTACAGAAAATATGTGAAAAACAAACTATTTGTAGCTGAAGTTAACATGGAAACATATATCCCTCTGTACCAAAATATAAGACGTTTTTTGACACTAGATATGGAGAGAGTACTTCATTATTATCATCTTTCATACCCCGAGTGTTTTTTTCTTCTGAAAAGGGGGGATACCCCGGCCTCTGCATCAACCGTTACAATGGTACAATGGTCTCTGACTTGGTGACTTATTCTACATCTGAATTATGCAGGTCATTGGAAATCTGATCTCATTTGCTGTACTCCAAAATAGAAAGGTTGGTATCTTAATTCAGAGCGTTATTAGAATCTTGTGTACTGCAATTTACTTGCACAACATATGTAGTCATCTTAATTGATCCTTCACTGTCATATCACGTCAGGGTGGCGGAACTGTAACAGGAAAAAATCTGTTGTTTCTTGTGTTCCTTGGCTGCACGGTTATCGGCATTGTATTAATGTGTTTACTGTCCAAAAGAGATGAGAAACAAGATCATTCTTCAGCACACTCATCGTTTGGAGATATGTTGAAGTGTATTGTTGCCCCTCTCAAGGACAGAAGGATGCTTCTTTTAATTCCTCTTATGGCATATTCAGGGTTACAACAGGCATTTGTATGGTAAGTACGCCATAAAAATAGTTCATCATACACGGTGGTTCCATTTGTTAGTGTGCTCTTTTTAAGAATATGTTGTTGATTACTCAGGGCTGTATTCACAAAGAGTATTGTGACACCTGTGCTTGGCCTATCTGGAGTCGGCGGCGCCATGGCAGTATATGGTGTAGCTGATGTAGTTGTAAGTTTTATTTTGAGTAATATGTAGTTGTAAGTGAAACTACTACGTATTAAACTTGATGTCAACATGTTCCAGTTTAGCTGTCTTTTGAAGCTTGTCCAACATTGCAGTGTTCATTGTTCGCTGGACGTTTTACTTCTGGGCTTCAGTCAGCAACATTTATAGTGTCAGTCGGAGCCATTCTTCAGGCTGTAGTCCTCTTCTGGCTGCTTCTCTTTTACCGGTTTGATTTCTTCACTAGTCTTCTGCTTCTGACTGCTATATATTTTCAGTGCACTCATCTTTGTCTTCCATACAGCCCAATGGGCGGACTAGTTGGTGCAGCGGCTCCACTATTGATAGGTGCCTTATGGGGTGTTGGTAACGGAGTCCTGAACACACAGCTAAGTGCTTTACTTGGGTTGCTCTTCGAGGACGTCAAGGTAATCTTAGTTTAGTTTGCTTTCTTCAGCATTTCATGTCCACATGAGTACGTACATGAGAATGCTTGATTTACTTTGCTCTGTTATAGTAATTTCATCCTGTCAATGATAGGAAAATTTAGTTTGACATGTATGTGTTGATATAAGTTAACTACCCATCTTAAATGAATGCACTAAATCTTTATATGGAAAAATGAAAAATGCAGGAGGCAGCTTTTGCACAGTTTAGGGTCTGGCAATCAGGTGCCATGGCAGTCATCTTCTTCCTCAGCCAAGTCATCACACTGCAAGCCATGCTTATCTTGATGTCCACATCGCTCGTCGTCTCTTTTGGCTCGTTCCTGACACTAACCCTTGTTGTCGACAAGTCATCATCAACCATCAGATTGTCAGGCTATTAATTCTCTCTTCAGGTTTCTTGATGGTATCGCTGTTACCACGCGTCTTCACCAATGTTAACGTTAGCATGTACAACCAGAGTGTTGTATCTCATGCATATTTGTAGCAACGTTACACCCATGATTCGCTATTATAATATGTTGTTCTATTGTAACTTTTTTCTAAATCAGATGTTTGTTCATTCATTTCAATCC